CCCTGAACACAAGAGGAATAAAAGGAGGATCACAGACCAAGGTCAGCCCCCGAGCAAAACCACAAGACTCTCTGTAAAAAAATAACTAAAGCAAAATAGGGTTGGGGGCATGGTTCAAGTGGCAGAGCAACTGCCTAGCAAGAAGAAAGCTCTGAGTTCAAACTCCAGTACTACTGAAAGTAAATAAAGTAAAAACAAAATAAGCATGGTAAGAAGGACATAGGAAACATTTGAAAAGTCAGAAACAAAACCAACACTTTCTTGACTCAACTTCCTTGTTCCCTGATGACCATAGTTAATTACCAATTCTTTTCTAAGCAACACTGTTGAAGTCTTCATTCTTTAAATACTGCATGGGAAGATGCTCACTGGTATCAAAAGAGCTTGCTGTGAGGCTGACAGGTCAAAGCTCTTCCTTCTGTGGGTGTAGAGTGATGGCCACAGTAACCTCGGGGCATCTCACCAAATGCTGACTCTAGTCATCATTATTTCATCCTTAATAATGTTGAAAAAGTGAATTTTAATCATAAATATACAATATTATTTCAAAGAGTTTCGCTGTCTGGCTTGACATAAACTGATAGACTTGTTATTGACCTAATGGTTTTACTTTTTTCATTTTTTCTTGTTGTAAAATACAAGACACAATGCTTGCCATTTTAACCATTTTCAAGTTTGCAATTCAGTGGCCTGAATTACAGTCACAATGTTGTTTAATTGTCATGACTATCTATTTCCAAGATGTTTTGCATCACTTTAAAAGAAACTGCAACCTAAGCACTAACTCCCCATCCCTATAACTCCCATTCTACATTCTGTCTCTATGAATTTGCTATTCTGGACACATCATAAAAGTGGAAACCTATAACATTTATCATTTTCTGGTTTGTGTCTTTGGGGGGCAGTACTGAGGTTTGAACTCAGGGCCTTATACTTGTTAGACAAGCACTTGACTACTTGAGCCACACCAACTTTTTGGGCTTTGGTTTACTTTTCAGGTAGGGTCTCGTGCTGTTCCCTGAAGCCTACCTTGGACTACAATCCTCCTACCTCTACCTCCCAAGTAACTGGGCTTATAGGCATCTGCCACCATTTGTCTTGTTTCTCACTTTTTTTTTTTGTTTGCCCAGACTGGCCTTTACCTATGATTCTCCAATCTCTGCCTCCCTAGTATCTGGGATTACAGATGTGTACCACCATATCCATCCATTACATTTTGAGATAGGGTCTTACTATATACCTCAGGTTTGCCTTATATTTAAGATCATCTTACTTTAGCCTCCCAAGTGCTAACATTACAGGAATGCCATACCATATCCAGCTCTGCTATCTTTTTTTTTAAAGCTTGTTTTTACAGCTTTTCCATTTTGTATTATGTACCAGAATGCCCATCCTTTTTATGGGTATTTTTCATTGTATGTATGCAGCACATTTTCTGTTGGATACATGGGTTATTCCTACCTCTTGGCTACTATAAATAATGTGGCAATGAATGCTGTCTTACAACGTTCACTGTCTTATATGAAGTCTGTGAGTCTTACATTGTCTTATGTCTCTGTATGAGTTCTTTCAGTTATTTGGGTATACACACAAAAGCAGAACTGTTAGGTCTTAGGGTGACTTTCCATTAACTTTTCAGGAGCTACCATGCTGCTTTCTACAGCGGCTGTACTATTTTATGTTCTTACCAACAATGTGATGTTCCAGCTTCTCCAAATACTTGCCAACACTTCAACACTTTTTTAAATTATTATTCTAGGAGGAGTAAAGTGGTATCGCATTTCAGGCTTGATTTGCTTCCCTCTAATGACTGGTGGTTTTCAACCTCGTATCATGTTTACTAGCCCTTTCTGTCTCTTCTGTGCAGAAATGACTACTGAAGTTCTCTGCATATTTTTAAAATAGGTGTTGTATTAGTGTTTTCACTGCTGTGACCATAATACAAGAGAGAACAATATGACAGGAGGAAGGATTTCTTTGAGGTCACAGTTCAGAGGTGTCAGTCCATCACTGAGGGGAGGAGCTGCTCAATTCATGGCAGGCAGGAAGCAGAACTGTAGCAGGAAGGCTGAAACAAGATACAGGCCCACCTCTCTCAGCTCCACCATCTTCTAGGTCTATTCAGATGGTGAATCCAACAATGGACTGAGCCTTCATCATCTAATTGTCTCTGCAAACTCATCACTGACACTCCTAGAGGTGTGCTTTATGAATCTGCTAGGTGTCTCAATCCAGTCAAGTCAATAAATATTTCCATTACAGATGACATTTTACTGTTGAGCTAGAGGAATTATTTACCATTCTGGACATTAAACACTTAATAGTTAATAATTTAGAAATAGTTTCTCATTATGTAGATTGTCTTTTCGCTCTTTGTGTGTGTGTATGTGTGTGTGTGTGTGTGTGTGTGTGTGTGCTGTGGGGATTATACCCAGCGCCTTGTACATGCTAGGAAAGCACTCTACAAGTGAGCTACATACCCAATCCTGGGTTTTTTGAATTGGAGTCTCACTATGTAGCCCAGACTGGCCTCAAACTCTCCTCCCAAGTGCTGGAATTATAGCTATTCATCACCCCAGCTGGCTGTTTCTTTTCATTTTCTTGGTAACCCCTCTAATGCATAAAAGTTTGTCATTCTGATTAAGTCCAACCTACTTCTCTTTTATTGCTCATATTTACAGCATCATATCTAAGAATCCACTGAAAATCTCAGGTCATGAAGCTTTATCTGTGTCTTTGCTTCCACAAGTACTCTGGCTTTAGTGCTAATGTGTGGGCCATGGATTTATTTTGAGTTTCTTATTGTTCATGATGTGATGAAAGGATCCAAATCCATTCTTTTCCGTGTATAAATCCAGTTGTCCCAGCATCATCTGTTGAAGTAAAAATTCCCTCTCCACTGAATACACGTGGTCCTCTTGTCCAAAATCAGATGTGGGTCATTTCCAGACTCTCAGTTCTGTTCCGCTGGTTTGTAGGTCTAACATTATGACAGTGCCACACTGCTTTGTTACTACAGCTTTGCAATAAGTTTCAAAATTAGGACATGCCAGGCCTCCACCATGTCCTTTTAGAAGATGGTTGGATATTCAGACCCTCAAAGCATTACAACTCTCTGAGGTTCTGCCTCCATTTCTGAAAACAGGTCATTAAAATATGGATGGGGATCATAATGACTATCTAAACAGCTTAAGGGGAGTGTTGACATTGTAACAATACTGACTCATGGATGTGTGATATTTTGCCAATTTCTTTGTTTTGGGGGTGAGGGGGAGTAGAGGGGTCGAACTCAGGGCCTTGCACTTGCTAGGAAGGTGCTCTATCACCAATTTCTTTTTATCTAATGCTAAGTGAGTTCAGAGCAACCAGTCACAACAGTTCAGTGAACTGGAGATGGAGCTCAGTGGTACAGCATTTTCCTGGCATTCACAAGGGGAGGGAGAGGGAGAGGAGGAAAAGGAAGGGGGGAAAAAAGATCTCACTGACTGTGCTCATGTCCTCTGAAGTGACATGGCTTCCATGTCTACACACTGTGAAGAAAATCTGACTAAGTAACCCTGGGAGAATTTCTATAGTCAGTAACATCTCACACTGAAAGCATAACAAAATCTCAGAATAGACATGTAAGTATTAAGTACTATTGTTAATTTAGGTAAGGAAAATCGTTACAATTTTATGATTTTATGGTTCCATCACAAAATCAGTGAAACACATGAACACACAAACATTCTTAGACACAGAAATACATTCACAGTAAAAGACTTAGCACTCTTTATTTATCTCTGGCAATTATATCACGTTAGAATTGGGGAGATAACTACCTATAACTAACACAGTAAAGAACAACATAAAAAATCAGACTATATAAGAATTCACTGTTCCCTGAACCTCACCTACTTTCCCAGGACATAGGAAAGTGGTCACGCTGTGGGGCTGGCTATCGTGCAGGGCAGCTCAGGGTGCTGCACTCATCTACAGTTCTTGATCCCAGTGGACACCTTATAGTAAAAATAAGTTTCCTAAGAATGCACGTGTTTAACAATTGTCCCTGTTTATTACATTGAATATTAGTAAAGTATAACTTCTTTTTTGGTGAAAAATAAGTCAGTACTAGTATTTTCTTTCCGTAACATGATGGGTCATCTGTACACTCTAATGCAGACTGCTTCAGAGTACATAGAAATGGAGGAAGACTCGAGGTACCGAGGAACAGCCACCCTGCCTCTGCTGCTGCTGCTTTACACTCAGAGACTCACCTGCTATCTCTTTCCTTCCTGGTATCTCTCACTTCATCTGCTTCGTTGATATCCACAATAAAAGTTTCTCCACTTGGTTCATTTTACAAGAGAGCTCCCAAGTGCTGCTCTCAGGAGCAAAAATGGGTCAAAAATGGTGGTGATGTGACACGTAAGGGAAGAGGCTAGAGCCCAAAGAGAAGCAGGTGGCTCTTAGGAGCTGAAGGGATCTGCTCTATGGGTGGCTGGGAAGTGGAGGTAGACTCCAGCTAGGTCTAGTGGGCTGACTGAGCCTCCAGAGGTGTGGTCTGTTCTTACAAGGTTTCCCCCACAGAACTCACCTTCTCTTAACACCTTCTCTTGCCAAGTTAGTGGCTGGTTAGTGACCCCTTTCAACGTGGGAGGGAAAAAAAAGAAATAAAGGGATTGTTGCCAATTTCCTAGATGAGGAAATGACATCCCTTCCCAGCTACAGTACCTCTAGAAGACTTCTTTCATTTCTAACACTAATAAAAGTATCAGCACTTATCTTTGTAATCTTTTTTTTTTATAGTAACAAACATTCCCACCCACATCATAATTTGTTAAGATATCTTTAGGTCAAACTGTATTTTGGAACACCACCCTAATCACCCCTCTGGAACATGCATGCACCAAGAAAGTCTGCTTTGCCGCAGAGCAAACTGAAGGGAAGGGGGGTTGTGTGAGCGGTACCTGAGCAATGGTCAGGGATCAGGGGTTGTGTGCATTCTGTATTTGACTTACGTCGCTGAGCCTTTCGCGAGAGCTGCTCCTGTGGAAGCCCTTGGATTCTCCACTGGCACTGTCACTGTCACTGTCCCTGCAGCTGCTCTGCCCAGGCTTGAGCTAAAGGAAAAAGCAAAAAGGAAGAAGTCAGTGGCATCCTTCGTCACACAAATGTTTCTTGGCCTCTGATCTTTGAGCCCTGTGGAGAGTGAACAGTTCTTTCACATACTCCTCGGTTGCTCAACTGGGTGAAGCCAGCGGCCACAGAAAACAGCAAGGTGAGCAGGAGAAGCAAAAGTACCATGCAGGGAATACGAAAGTCGTAATCGAAGGCCTCAATGCCTACCGGAGGCCCGGGAGTCGGAAAGTAGTCTTCCCTCAGATGTGTTCTCCTGGTCCACTGCGATTTTTTTCATAATCATTAAATCAAACACATGGAATAAACTAAAGCCAGACTGTATCAACTATGATCTCCACCCTGCTCCTTCTGTGCTCTTCTCAAAGAAACTATGCAGCAGGGCAAAAACCAAGGCTTTCTTCTCCTACAATAAGACGAAGAGCTGCTGTGATGCTATCCCTTACCACTGAGAAGACACAAAATGACCCTGTTTGAGGGCAGCACTCTGCAGGCCTGCTCAAAATACCCACTGCTGTCTACACCTAATCCTGCCAAATCAGCACTCCTGAGCAAAGACACACTCAGTGCATGCCGGGCTGGTACTGAGGGCTGGGGGTAGAGACAAGGTACAGTGGTGCTGACCTTATCATGTCTATGTTCTAGTGGTTTCTACAAATTTACCTGTAAAACTGAACACACAGAATTGAAAACCATCATTCTACGAGACTGCTACATGTCACACACATTGGACAATGAGGGCCTGATGTCACCACCGACCCAATTTTCAGAGACTTCTTTTTAATGACCACATTTCAGACCTCACTGTGGTCATGCCATCCACAGAGAGCTTCCGCCAAGACCCAAACGGAGTGATCCTTTTGCTTACAACCTGTCTACAAATCCATCTTTCACACTTTCTCATACAGTACTTTCTCTAGGAATCTTCCATAATGGAGTTCAGAATGAGTGCTAATTTTATGTTGAATCCTCCGAGCCCTTAAGTAATTAGTTTTCTCCTAAGTGAATGCTAAATTTACCAATTCTAAGATAATCCACATACAACCTCATGAGCCCTTTCTATTACTATGGAATAAAAGGTCAGAATGTGGTCTTTTCATATCCACCTTCATAGTGAAACTAAGACATGTACCCATCGTCTTCTCGCCATGTGAACACACCTTTCTGTTCCTGCCCTGTGCTCCTTCAGAACAGATCCCCTGCTCCACCTGGGGTGTTTACCCTCACTGTCTCTGGGATTTGTGGATAAGCTCATAGCTTAATTCCTCCACTTATGATCTTTGAAGAATTCTTTCTTTCTATAATTGTTTTTAAAAGCATGCCTTCAAAGTTTAACTAGCATGTCATGCTCCACTGATACATTTTCAAGTTTCAACAGGTCTGTTGTAATAATACAGTAATACTGATAATAAAATCTGCATGTGGAATGGCTCCTCTAATTCTAAGCAACATTAGAACTCTATGCACTTGTTCTCTAACATGGGCAGTAGAATGACAGCCAGTGCAAAGAGGAAGAAACACAGCAAGTGATGTGCTCAGTCAGACAATGAACTCAGTGCCAAACCCATGGCTCTACTGCCTCTTGCTGTCTGGTTTAATTTTTGGTGCCCATTTAGATATGCGTCATGGAGGTGAGGATTCTGCAGCATACTAGGATTCTCTCTCTATTCTTAATATATGTGTGAAACCCAACTACATTTGACAAAGAAAAGATTCTTAATAGGAGCTGTTTATAAATCTCAGTTCTCTGATATAGATGGCAAGTACACATCTAGATGGGAATTAAGAGTACAAGACTATCAAGGCTTCTCCTAACATCCAAATGACTTAACAAGACCTGGACATTGCACTTGGACCCTTTCCTCTTCTTCATGAAAGGAAAAGAATGATTTCAACAAGGCACAACAGTAATTTCAGTGGTCCTAACATCAATTGCCTGAATGTTGATGTCAGCTAAGGGCAAACCCATGGAGGACTCACAGGAAGAAGCACCTTGCTAGTGCCCCAGGGCCCAGCCCTGCCATAAACACACTTGTGTGAATTCTCTTTAGAGAGCCTTACATAAAACCACCCCCACACTACACTTTTTTCCTCCAAATCCAGGCTCAAGTTTAAAGGAAACTTAGGATTTTAAGCTGTCAGACAGCTCAATATTTCAAAGACACGGAATGACTATAGTAAGTACTAAAGCTAAACCACAAGATTTCAGGCAAGACGTGTTCACTCCTAATCCCGTGAATAAATTTTCAAACTGGCATTTTCAACCATATCCAATGGATCATTCTCAGCTAACTGAGAAGTTGTAATCCTGCACCTGAAATTTCCAGAGATGCTACAAAGGCCAGGTGCTGCTTAAACATTTAAAGACCTAAGGAAAATTGATCTGTTTGCATTGATTGGTCCGAGCATCCATGGTGGCTATTGTAAGCAATCTTTTGTTATAACAGATGCATTGAGATTTCGTACTATCAACATTTAGAGAGCTCAAGACTTTGACCTCTCTAACTGCAAAAATTAACTGCAGCCCATTCCCTAATTCCAGAAGTTTCTTCCCACTAGAATATTCTGTAGTTTAAGCACCCCAATTAGAACAGACAAAATAAAAGGAGGTATATGGCATGAGTGGCAGTGATTCTATCCATAAGAAATATTTTTTACAAAATAAAAGGGGCCAGATTCTTTTTCATTAGATTTCCTTGATAAAAATATATACTCCAAAATCTGAAATTATGCTCTCATTACAGTGTTAACTGTCACTAATGGCTAATTAGGGACATACCCAAATATGCTTTTATCACCACTAATGAATATGTGACAAAGTCCCATCACCCTGGACTGTGAGAAGATGGAGCAGCCCTCCACACATCTACCAAGCACTGGAGAATATGTCAGCTTTTTCAGTTCAAGTATGGTAAGTTCAACAAAGATATTAGATGCTCAACAGATGTCATAAACCCATCAAATGAAATTTACTGAAAGACAGATTATATGTGGGAGATATCTGTCCCTGTGGCTATGCAGAGCAATTCAGAACAGTGTCAAAAGTCATCTCCTGTCATACTTCTGGTTCCTGGAAGCAGCCTATATCCTAGTTCAGGCTGCTGAGTTTTCCTGTAAGGATCTAAATGAACTCTTTACAGCCTTTCAAAATGTGTCAATAGCTCAAAGTCTACTTTCTTCTCAGTGAAAAGATTTTAAAACACCAGTAGACTTCAATCTTATTAAAGCAGCAAGTATTTAATTTGGTTTTTCTTCTCCAAAATAAAATTGTACGCAAATAGAAAAAGTTTCATTGTTTGGGTTGCATTTGCGTACTGTTTTATTCCTAAAGCATTAAAAGGTGTTTTAAATCAGAGACACGGGAACAAAACTAAAGCACTTAAATGAAAAAGTTGAAAACTAAAATAAGCTAACACATATAACAACTACACGGAAAATTTTAAAGTTGAATGGAAAAATATTCATAAGAAATGAAAACTGTATTTTATTTTTCAGTATACAACAGCAAGTTATGCATCACACCTGGCCCAAAAGGTACATTCTCTAACATTTATAAAACTTCAGTACCTTCAATAAAAGGTTTAAGTTATAAACCTTTATATGAAAGTATATAAATTAAAACTATTTTAAATAATAAAGGAAATCAACAGAAAGTGGAAGGCTTTAGCATCTTATTAATCAGCGAGCACAAAAAAAGTAACAACAGAAAAGGAGATAGAGATTAAAAATTCATGTAGACTCAGTCAATACACAGTGTATGTGGTAACTTACAGAGACATACTTTTTAGGGTACTTATGGGACATTACTACCAACTGAAAGAAAGTATACTAAGGCACACAGAATATTAGAATATATTTCAAAAATTACATGAACAACCTATTCTATGACCAAAATCAATACCTATAACTATGTAGAGATTCTTTTAAAACTATTTAAAAAGATCTTTAAAATTCTCTCCCACAATTAAAACTGGATTAAAAAGAAAAATCACACTTACATACACACAATTTAAAACTTAAGAAAATGAAAATTATAACTATATAAAATCAAAATGTTACAGGATGTTGTATAATCTTTGCTCCATGTTAACTCAGAGAGCTATGAATTTTCTATTAAATGGGAAAGAAATGAAAGAAACAGCCTAAATAAAGAGATCAAAAGAAAGACTTTTAAAAAGAAGTTAAAAAAAAGGTACAGGAAAAACTAGAGGAAGAAAATTCTAGAATTGAAAATAACAATAAATTATAAAGTAAATTATTACACAACTAACAAAGCACAATTATAACTGGGGACTCACAAAGATCTTCATCTTCATCTAAGAGGCATATGACACACCTCTTACAAATCTATGTATGAAAAACATGGCCAGCAAAGCAAAAATTAGGAAGAAAATATGACAAATTTCTAAATTAGAGGAGTAATGTTATTCTATGGCAGTATTACCAAGCTATGATCGAAGAGTTTTAAAGAAGATTTAGCTACAGAAAGCTAATCTACACCAACCTGATTAAAAAAAAAACAACAACAACTCAAACAGGGAACTACAGAACAATTTTCTTAAGGAAAAGAGCGAGACACAATAAACTGAATTAATGATACATGAAAGGACAGCCCACTAAGTTCTAACAGAATTTTTTCACAAGAATCTAAGATTCTACCAATTTGCAAGTGGACACAAGAGGAATTTCTAAGGTAACAACACTATTCTAAAGCTGAAGTGTGGTGAGGGCTGCACAACCCCAGAAACTTAGTAAAACTAGCTTGTGTCCTTACAGGAATGAAGTTTCAGAAATAGAAGGTTTTATTAGTGGAATCTCTCCCTAGGGAAAGCTGGTTTCCTGTTAAAGATCTCAGGTTAGGTCAGGATTGCAGAAGAATTCCTTTCCTTCCGGTCAACTGTGCTACCTAAGAAAATCTATGTGTAGCTCAGGGTTTGTGCATGTGTGTTTGAACCCACATGCATGAGGCACTGGGTTCAATCTC